GTTCAACATGAAGACCGTCAGCTTTTCAGGTTGCTTCCTGCAGATGTTCATCATGAATACCTTCCTCCCCATGGAATCTTCCACCTTTCTGGTCATGGCCTATGATCGCTATGTGGCCATCTGCCACCCACTGCGCTACTCCTCCATCATCACAGAGCAGTTTGTCATCAATGCAGCCATCTTCATTGTCTTCCGCAATCTGCTAGGCACACTGCCTACTCCAGTCCTGGCTGCTAGGCTCAACTACTGTGCCAGCAATGTGGTGGAGAACTGTATATGTGCCAACATTTCTGTAATCAAGCTCTCCTGTGGGGATATTCACCTCAATAAGCTCTATCAATTTGTGAGTGTTTGGTGCCTTCTAGGTTCTGACCTGGTGCTCATCTTGCTGTCTTACTGCTTCATTTTGAGGGCTCTTATAAGCTTGCAGTCAGGAGGTGCAACCACCAAGACTTTGAGTACTTGTGGTTCACATCTCATTCTTATACTTTTCTTCTATACACTGCTGCTAGTCTTCATCTTCACAAACAAGGCAGGAAAGAAGATACCCTCAGAGGTACCTATTCTTCTCAATGTCCTGGGTCACCTCATCCCACCAGCCCTCAACCGCATTGTTTATGGAGTTCGTACCCAGGAAATTAAGCAGGGGATCATCAAATTATTCAAATCCTGGTCTTGAGAGATATGAATCCAAGTTCAGGGACTGTAGAAATCTGGACATGTCTTGATTTCATCTGAATATCTCAAGGGATATCATATGGCATCTATGTGTCTATCTTCATCTTCATCCCAAACTTTCTAACCTACTTTCAAAATACTCATCCTCATTCTCTTTTTACAAACATGTGCTACACCCACATTTAGGTATCCATTACATTCTTCATTTTACTTTGTACCACCACAATCTCTCAATTAGTCATTAAATAAGTTTTTAATACTCTCTATCTTCTTTTCAGTATTTACATTCTGAGTAAGTCTCATTTAATTTATAGGCAACAATAAAGAAGCACTTTCAACGGAACATGGTGGGTATGAACATGATTGGGGAAAACAATAAAGCCGTTCTTTCAATAATCTGGGTTAAAAATGATAATGATTTAGGTTAAGGTGATGAGTGAATATTGAAGTTATGGGTCCACCATATTTTCAGAGTCTATATGAAGAGTGTAAAAGCTGGAAAGGATTAAAGGAGGACACCCCGGCTTTTAGCAAGAGCAATTGAAATACTGAAATTGCCATTTACCCAGAAGCTACCTTGGTCCATATTATCAGAAGATCAGCTTTTGATGAACTTCATTTCTGTACCAATTCTCTTCATGACTGTATATTAGAAATGACTAAAGTATCTGAGTGAAGAAGTAAAACTAAGCAACTGATGTTTATCAGGGTAAGATAAAAGCTTAGAATAGAAGTTTGAGTCATCAGAATAGTATTTTAAAAATAATTAAATTTTATTTATTCTAATTTGTTATATACAACAGCAGAATGCAATTCAATTCATATTATACAAGTCAAACCAAATTTTCATGTTTCTGGTTGAACACAAATTAGATTCACACCATTTGTGTTTTTATACATGTATTTGGGATAATGATGTACATCTCATTCCACCATTTTTCCTACCCCAATCCTCCCTCCCTTTCCCTCCCTCCCCTTCACCGTATCTGAAGTTCATTTATTCCTCCTATGTTTCCCTCCTCCCATCCCCATTATGAATATGCATCCTTATATCAGAGAAGACATTGCATTTGTTTACCTTCTATCCATTTGTCTGCAAATGTCATGATTTTATTCTCTTTTAATGCTGCATAATATTCCATTGTGTACATATACCAGATTTTCTTCATCCATTCATCTACTGAAGGGCATCTGAGTTGGATCCACAATTTAGCTATTGTGAATTGTGCTGCTATAAACATTGATGTGGCTGTGTTCCTATAGTATGCTGTTATAAATCCTTTGAGCATAAACTGGGGAGTGGGACAGCTGGGTCAAATGTGGTTCCATTCCCTGTTTTCCAAGGACTCCCCATACTACTTTCCAGGTTGGTTTCACCAATTTGTAATCCCACCAGCAATGTATGAGTGTGCCCTTATTTGTACATCCTCACCAACACTTATTGTTTGTGTTCTTAATAGTTGCCATTCTGACCTCAGTGAGATGAAATCTTAGAGTAGTTTTGATTGGAATTTCTCTATTGCTAGAGATGTTGAACATTTTTTCATGAATTTTTGATTGATTGTATATCATCTTTTAAGAAATGTCTGTTCAGTTCCTTGACCCAATTATTTATTGGGTTATTCATTTTTATGGTGTTAAAATTTTTGAATTCTTTATATATCCTAGAAATTAGTGCTCCATCTGATGTGTGTGTGCTAAAATTTGCTCCCAAAATGTAGTATATTTAAGGTGTGATGTAGTGATGCCACCTGCTTCACTCTTCTTGCTAAAGATGCTTTAGCTATTCTGGGTCTCTTATTTTTCCATATGAATTTCTTGATTGCTTTTTCTATTTCCATGAGGAATGTCATTGGGATTTTGATTAGAGTTGCATTAAATCTGTATAGTGCTTTTGGTAGTATGGTCATTTTGACAATATTAATTCTGCCTATCCAAGAACAAGGTAGATATTTTCATCAGGATGGTATTTTAATCTCACTTAGAAGTTTGATTTTAGGATCACTAATTTCTTTCCCTTCTCTCAAGAAACTTTTTCAACTGTTGAATAACCTGCTACTACCAATATATTGTGAACTCATTCTTCTTTGCATCTGTAACATCTAGCATTAGATATAATGCTATATAATAAGTGATTTTTGCCTCTGTCAAGACATTTGTTCCCACCAAGGGATTTCTCAATTATAGTATCATTTCAAAAGACAGTACTGCTTATCGATGACATTTCATATAGTTGTTTTAGCAAACATATTAAAACATGTTATTTTATAATATTAAAAGTATTAATTAGTGTAATGTAGCAGAGAAATGGACTTTCTATATTCAAAATGGAAGATATACTTTTAAAGCAAGCTTTAAAGAGACACCAACAACAATGTGATATTATATATTTACTCCACAGAAATGAATGTGTACCCCATCCCACCCCCCTGCTTTCCATCCAAGAATTCCTCATAAAATATGTTGGATGGGTGATTGTTTTAGGTCCCCTTTAGTTATAGCCATCAGCCAGTTGTAATAATTTTCTACCATTTGCTTGAGATCTGCCTTTAGATGCATCCAGTCAAGGAGTAATAAGGATGGAATAATTGAGGTGTATGCTTTAGAGTTGAGCACCATAATAATTAAATTTATCCAAGATATAATGTGTCTGGGTTATAGTATTCCTTTTCTAGTACCAATATAACAATAAGAATACATATTTTAAGGCCTAGTCTCTTTCTTAAATGGGCTCTGGTTCATAGGAAGGGCTCTCTGCTTATGACCCATGTTCCCTTTATAACATTCTGCATTGACTTTCAGTTATCTGCCAGTTCTGGGCTTTGAAAGTCACCTTCTCATGATCAGGGCTACTTTGTTTAGAGTAAGAGGTCCTTCTACCTGTAGTCAGAATTATTCAGGTTCCACTGACCTGTCTTCTGCCTTTCGCTTCCCATGACTGTATCCTATCATCCTGCTGGGATGTCCACTACTCCTTGGACTTCCACTTATTCTAGGCTTAGACTTTGTGTTTACTGTCCTATATGACTGACACAGATTTACTCTTTATGTGCAAATGATCAACATCCAATATGCATAATTTTAGTTCAAAAATAATTTAATTTTCACAGAAATCACATTCTTTTTAAATTTTTTTATTTATACATGACAGTAGAATGTATTTTGAATATATATATATATATATAGAGTACAACTTCCCATTCTACTGGTTGTACATGATGTAGAATTACATTGATTGTGTATTCATATATAAAGATTTATGAACACAGGAAAGTAATGTCTGATTGATTCTACTAACTTTCCTACTCTCAATCCTCCTTTATTTCCTTCATTTTCTTTTGTCTAATCTAAAGTACTTCTCTTTTCCACCCCCCATTTTGTGTTAGCATCTGCACATTAGAGAGAACTTTTGGCATTGTTTTTTGGGAATTGGCTTACTCACTTAGTATGATAGTCTCAGTTCCATCTATTTACTGGCAAATGCCATAATTTCATTTGTCTTTATGGTTGAGTAATATTCCATTGTGTATATACAACACATTTTCTTTATCCATTCCTCTGTTGAAGTGCATCTAGGTTGGTTTTATAGTTTAGCTATTGTAAATTGAGCTGCTCTAAGCATTCGTCACGTCAATAGATTTATACACAACAATCTCATGATTATCTCAAAAGATGCAGAAAAAATGTTTAAGAAAATATAGCAACCATTCATGTTCAAAACACTAGAAAAACTAGGGATAGTAGGAACAGACCTCAACATTGCAAAAGCTGTTAATGCTAGAACCAAGGACAGCATCATTCTAAATGGAGGAAAACTGAAAGCATTGCCTCTAAAAACTGGAACAAGACAAAATTGCCCTCTTTCACCTCTTCTATTCAACCTCATCCTTGAAACTAGTCAGAGCAATTAGACAGAAAAAATAAATTAAAGGGATATGAATGTGAAAAGAAGAACTCAAACTATTACTATTTGCCAATGACATGATTCTATATTTAGAAGACCCAAAAAACTCCACCTGAAAACTTCTACAACTGATAAATTCAGAAAAGCAGCAGTGTATAAAATTAAGATCCACAAATCAAATGCTTTCCTACATATCAGTGATCAATCAACTGAAAGAGAAATCAGGCAAAGACCTTAGAAGATGAAAAGATCTCCCATGCTCTTGGATAGGCAGAATTAATATTGTCTATATGGCCACACTACCAAAAGTACTATACAGATTTAATGCAATTCCTATTAAAATTCCAATAATGTTCTTCACAAAAATAGAAAAAGCACTCCTAAAATTCATTTGGAAAATTAAGAGACCCAGAATAGCCAAAGCAATCCTTAGTGAGAAAAGTGAAGTAGGAAGCATCACAATACCAGACATTAAATTATACTACAGAGCTATAGTAACATAAGTGCCATGGTATTGGCACCAAATCAGAAATGTAGATCGGTGGTGCAGAATAGAAGACACAGAGACAAACCCATATAAATAATTATCTTGTAGTAGACAGAGATCACGTTCTTAATAATCACATGAAAAGTGGCCTTTTTAATTTTACCTGTACATAATTGTGGGGTTCATTTTGATATAATCACACATGCATAGATTATAATCTGTTCCATTTAAGTCTCCAGGACCTCTTCACTCTCTTTCCTTCTCCCACCCCATCTCCAATTCTTATTCCCATATCCTCCACCCAGCACAAATTTATTGTTTTTATAAGTTAATACTTATAGGTGTAAATAAAGGTGGAATTAACCATGGTACATTCACACATGCAAACAGCATAATTTGGTCAACTTAATTCCACAGTTCCTCCCTTTTTCCACCCCTTTCTTTATCTACACCACTGAATTTCCCTTCCATTTTCTTGTGTCTTCCTTGCCCACATCCCCTCCTTATTTTCTTGTCCTTACACATATGAGAGAAAAATATTCAACCCTTGACTTTCTGAGTTTGGCTTATTTCTCTAAGTGTGATGTTCTCCAGTTCCTTCTATTTACTG